TCCCCCATGGGAGAGGGCTTTGGAGGAAGATTCTTATGCACAGATCCTGTTTTATGCATTGTACTAAGTGGAAGCTGGGCGGGGGGAATAAAATTAATTTCTGGGAAGATAATTGGGTGGGCAGTGGTAGCTTCAGGGGAGATTTCCAGGCATCTTCAATATTTCACAAAACCAGAATATGGCTGTTATTGAGGCTTACCAGCAGTCGAATAGGAATGCAGTTTGATCCATAAGTGTTAACAGAAATCTAAATGATTGGGAGTTGGGGGAATATGAAGGCATGTTGCAGCTTTTGGCGGAACAGAAAATTTTTTGTGTGGATGATCAACTGGTGTGGAATCTGGAAAAAAATGGCTTCTTTTCTGTTTCTTCCTATTATCAGTTCTTGTGCAAGGGGAAAGACGTGTGCAGGATGGTCTTTCCGGCTAAACAAATTTGGAAGACCTTGGTTCCCCCTCGTGTGTCTTTTTTTGCTCGGGAGGCTTGCTGGGAGAAGATTTTAACTACTGATAAGCTTAGAAACAAGGGCTACATTCTGGTGAATGGGTGTTATTGCTGTTTGAAGGCGGATGAAACTTGTAACCACTTATTATTGTGGTGTCCTATGCCTTATGGTTTGTGGTCTTTTATTTATGGGTTGCAGGGTATTAATTGGGTTATTGCAGGTTCGGTGGGGGTGAGATATGGGCTTGGCATGGTTTAAATGTAAAAAATAAGTTAGCTAATATGATCCCATTGACTGTCTTTTGGGTCTTATAGAAAGAAAGGAATAGTAGAGTGTTTGATAGTGAGGTTAGTAGCATGACTAGGTTAAAAGACAGGTAGTTGCATTATTTTAGGTTTATATTGTTAGGGCATAATATTATTGAAAATGTGGATTTTGGGATTGTCATTGATTCACTAACCTTATTGTAAATTTATATACATGGGGGGTACCTCCGTTCTTGGTACCTTGCTAATACACAGTTGATACTTTTTATTTCAAAAAAAAAAAAAAAGTTCTTTATAGTCAGTTCAAAGATAGATACTCCTCATTGTAAAAGGTGTTGGAGGGAATTTGGCTTCAGATGAAATCCTATTGTAGAAATAAAGCAATTGACACTTTTCAAGCATATAGAGTGTGGTGTTGGCTGGAATATCTTCCATAACTACATCTTCATATTCCTTATGCAAAAGCATTTGAAAGGAACAAAATAGACAAATGAAATAAACCAAAAGACCTCCTCTAAGGTTGAAATAAACATACAATAAAGCACGAATATGCATTTGTGTAAACGGAAATTCACAACCTTTGACTCAATCCAATTCCTGTCTTTAGGGATAATTTAGCACAAATTACCCCAAAACAACTAAAGATGCTATGCTGAAGATAACTAAACAGATAGCTACTTAAATAGAACACTTTCTAATTCAATGAAGGAAATAAATTGTTTTCACCTAAATTAAATCTTTGCAAAACTGGATGATTTCCAGGTCAGTTGCCACAGACACAAAGTCATCTTCCTCGTAGCAGTCCTTCATGCCACAGAGAATATGCACTAACAGAAAGTGCAGGGATGAAGTACATTATGCATAAAAATATGGAAGTCCAAACCTTCAATTTACTCAAGTTATAAGACATAAAGAAATATTTCGGGTAAAGACACAGAACACTTACCAATAATATAGCTTCAACACTAGTCCTCATGCCTTCTTTCATATAGCTGTAAACCAAAAAGAAGATAAATGACTGATATGCTCATAAAATTAACGGGATAATCAAGCAATAAAGACAACAAACTAACATGTAGAAGGAAGCTGATAAGTTGATCAGCAAACTAGGAGTAAGTCAGAAAACACATCCACCATCCCCGTTGGCTTGAGCACATTAACAATGTCTAAATATAGCATTCAACTTAACTTTAATAATCAACTGCAATTCGGAGTAAAACCACAGATTTCACAGTTTGGTTCGATTCCCGTGCGCACAAAAATGTACGTATACTCATAAGAACATCAACCACGAGAAATGAACACAAACCCTAAATATATAAAAAAACGAAAAAAATTTAATTGAATTAAGTCAATTCGAGATTTCCAAAAACATGAAACTCAAACAGATACAGTGTTTCCTGATACACCTGCTATTGGTAATTACAATAAATATGAATTTACAAGTACGTAAACTTCGAAAGACAATTTTCTCCAAAGTTTTCCTCCATTTCCCCAGAACCAAGCAGAGGTCAGCAATAGGGCTAGGTAACTAGGTAACTAGATATAATGTGCTGCATAAATCGACACAGATAGAGATAGAGATACTAACTTGACTTTCATGCGTGCGAGGCGATCAGCGACTGAGGTGTCTTTCTCCATCTTCGGTTCTTTGGTCCCAAATGTATAGCTCGAAAGAGGATATGTGTTCACCACTGGTGAGATCACCATCTTCTTCTACTTCTCGCCGTCTGTTATCTTTACTCTATCGATTTCTGTCGAACAGGAGACACCATGCTAGAATCGCACTGGTTCTTGCCTTGTGCAGTTGTGACTTCTGCCTTCTGAGACAGTGCAAAATACCAAAAAACCCCTTGTTTACTGAGTTGACGAAACTCGACAACTGAGTTCGGACCGTTTGGATCAAGCGCATGTTCTTTTGGATTTCTTTTTGAATTTATTTTAAGTAATTATGAGCTACCCTGGCACTTTTAGTTGAAATATTCTATTAATTTATTTCATTTTTTTTTATTACAAATTTAAAAATAATAAAATTTTTAGAGTATATTAATATTTATAATGTTTTCAATTTACTCATAGTAATGAAATTTTTAATAATTTTTTAAAGTAAATATATATTTATTAATAAATTAATACACATTTATCAATTATAATAAAACAAAATAAATATATATATATGATTATAACTCAATTTGAATATATGATTTTGTATATAAAAAGAAGGTGATAATTATTTAATTAAATAATAATTAATATCTAATAAAATTTTCAAAAAATCATGGTTTGTTGCATGATTAATCTCATTTAATTTGGAGGGAAATTTTTTATATTCCTAAAATTAATAATTTAATCAATTTGAAAAAAAAAAAGCACAAAACTTAAATTACAATAGAAATTAATAAGAATATATTTTGTTACAATATGGATTACATAAAACTTATTTATATTGAGAATTTTTATAAATAACAGAAAATAATGTACTCAATTAATAATTGAAGAATGTTTATGGTTTCTGTCAAAAAATACACTTTTAAATAAATTTATAATTCTAAAATTAAATTATAATAAAAAAATTTAAAATTCAATTACAGTATAACTGGTAATTAAGAACTAAAATCGGTAATTTAAGCTTTATTACGATAATTGTGAGTTTAAAAATCTTCCCCGGCTCGGTTCCCTTGATTTAATAATGTAAAACGGAGAAAGAGAAGAGGAGGAAAATGGAATAATTCCAAATTCATTGGTCAAGCAATCGCATATTTGATTCAACTCTCTGTTGTAGTCTTAGAATTTGCCAGACCTTTTGTGTTGATTAGCTTGCGGGATAACTTCCATGGAAAAGCCGGAAGACCATGAGATTCACAACTGTGAGATCAAGCTGGTACTTGTATTTTCTACTTCTTTTTCTTTTTTGGTCTGTGAGATCATAAATCGGGGAAACCTGATTGAATGAATTGGAAAAACTGCAGCGAGTGAATCCTCAGAAGAGAAAAGAGAAGGTGCATATCGGGTGTGGAGCTGGGTTTGGGGGTGACAGGCCGCTGGCAGCTCTAAAGTTGCTCGAGAGAGTTGAAGAGCTGAACTATCTTGTACTCGAATGCTTAGCGGAGAGGACGCTGGCGGATCGTTACCAGGTTATGCTGTCTGGTGGCGATGGTTATGATTCTCGTAGTATGTTTCTGTTATTCCTAAATGTGTGTATCAGGTTACGGTGTATTGTATTTTCTGGTTCTTGTTGAGTCCATGGCTATGTTTATAACAATTCATTTGGAAAGTAATACGTAGTGGTACATTTGCAAATATAATCCTAATTTAACTACAAAATGGTGAATATACTTGTTAGATGATAAAAAGCAATTTGGAATTTCACTTAGAGTTGAAATAATGCATTCATTTGGAATCTATTGGTCCAATTTCAACTGCAAATTCAAAGTAAATTTCGATATAAGTTCTATTTCATTTATCTTTGTAGTCGTACCTTCATATTTTTGGTTGGAGTAAGTGTGGATTTATGGATGAATTATACAAGTTTTTTGAATTTATTCTAAACACAGACTAATAGTTTCTGGTTTTTGGCAGTTTCAGAATGGATGCATTTGCTTTTGCCGGTGGCTTTGGACAGAGGAGTTTGTATAATTACCAACATGGGTGCAAGTAATTATTCAAAAGTCCTTAAGTTCTTTTTTCTTTTTGTTTTTTCAAGGCAGAATTCTTTTGGGTGGCTAAATCTTCCTTCCTCATGTTAGTGGATCCACCCGGCGCCCAAGAGAAGGTGTTAGAGATAGCCAGTAGCCTGGGGCTTAATATTTCCATTGCTGTAGCTCATGAGGTGTCTTTAAGAAAATCAGGTATCCGCCGTTGCTCATTGTACATTTTAAGTGAATCATATGAATTTTGTAGGGGTTTTTGAATATCGAATATAATGCCGGATTCAGTTATTACATCCATTTTGGTTCAATTCATATTATATTCTTAACTTATTCCTACTTGATATTTAGAAGAATTATCACAAAATTGGCAAGTCATTTCTACCCTCTCATTAAATATTTTGAGAATGAATTCTTGATTTTTACTTCTCCAAATAGGTATTTGAAATCTATTCAAGTGGTGTATATGAATAAAATAATTATGGGATGGGAAATGACACGAATTGGACTTTAGTTTTTGTTAAAAGGGTGTTTATGCTTATTCTTAAAAAAAAAGGTGTTTATGCTTATTATTTATTTATTCTTGCAAGAATTACAATCTAATGGTTTTACAACTTCATACAAACATTTTGATTGGTTTGCTTATGCAGGTCCAGAATCATCACCTTGTAGGCCACATATCATGGAAGGTGTAAGAATTCAATGCTCTTGCATGTGCTTTTCATGCATATTCATAGTTAATACTTTTAGTTCTCTTTCAGTTTATAATTCTTGGACTCTATTTCTTCAGTTGGTACATGACATCTAGAAACTTGTGTTGGTGACTCTTTATGAGCAAATTATTGTTGGAATATAACACGTGCTTACGTCCTACCTATCCATGGAAGTAACGTGAAAAACGTAATTCACATTGTTTATTAGATATTTATACCATTGTACATGAAGAACTTGACCTAACAGTATTTGATTTTTGCTCCTTTTTTGTGCTAATAAAGCAAGCTAACCATTTGGTTTTATTGATGAAGGGTATTAGCACATATCTGGGAGCAGCTCCAATTGTTGAATGCCTGGAGATGTACGAACCAGATGTGATAATTACTTCGCGGATTGCAGATGCAGCCTTATTCTTAGCACCGATGGTATGAACTGAAAATGAAAGGTGTGAAGTACTTGTCGGCTTTTCTCAAAAATTATAGGTGAAATTGATAGTTTCCTATTATCTTGATTATGATTATCTTGAGATTCTGGTTCCTCTAAAATGGTCTCATGGTCAACAAATTGTTGCGTAAAAGATATTCACTATTACAGAGAAAGAATTGCTCACTTTCTAGTCTGAAACCTATAGCTTGGTTAATTATTTAACTTGTGCAAAAGAATATTCAAATTATATGTAGCATCTTTGACAGATAAAAACTACTGCTTTTCACTTGTTTTCGGATCATTTTCTAAATTAATCCCCTTTTACATGATTAGGTTTATGAACTTGGTTGGAATTGGGATGACTTTGATCACCTCGCACAGGGAACTCTCGCTGGCCACCTTCTAGAGTGTGGTGTCAACTTACTGGTGGATACTTCATGCACCCAGGTTAGGTTTATACTACTGTTTATATGCCTTTCTTCTGCAAATCAAAAAATTCCTAATTGCAAAGATATTTTCTGATATTGTATGCTTTTGCATTGTTTGCTGTAGGGGACAAGTATCGAGGCTTGTCTTTCCCAAGTCTCCTTGATTTATCACTTCCATATGCAGAAATTAGTTTTGATGGGAAAGTCCTTGTAGCAAAGGTTGAAGGTAGTGGTGGAGTTTTAAATTTAAGTACTTGTGCTCAACAACTTCTTTATGAGATTGGGGATCCTGGTGCATATGTCACCCCTGATGTGGTTAGTTAGATAAGCATGCACAATCTGTAGTTATAGGCAAACAAAAAGCTCTTAAGCTTACTGTATCCTTCATGACAGGTAATTGATCTTCAGGATGTTACATTCCATCCTTTATCAAACTGTAAAGTTCTTTGTGCTGGAGCAAAGCCATCTGTTAAACCAGTGCCTGAAAGACTCTTGCAGTTGGTTCCCAAGGTCATTTTATGAATGCATCATTTGATTATGTTGAATATGATTTGAACTGGTGGGTCAATCTTCACAATGTATCTTCTTTGAGGAATTTTGATCAACCATGCATGTGTTTGTTAGTGAGTAACCTTGATCTAATGCATCTTCGAGTGACATTGATCAAACAAGGTTCCTCATGATGCTGAATTCTGAAATGCTGTCTATTCTACCCATTTCTTTTGTTCTTTTTGTGCCTTCTATGAACTTTGAAAATTGTAATTTCCATTATGTTCAGTTTTTAACAGAACAAGATTGATTGCATTGGTCATAGGTGAGATGACTCTAAAAGCTGAATGAAAATGAAACTAACGAAGACAGAGATTGATAATCTGCTTTGATATTGACTTTTATCTTGTGGTCCTTCATATCTTACTATTGAAATCATTTTAGTCATTATATTTTCCAACAATAAAGATTTCACTCCACCTTCTATTGCCACTTTTTAATTTTTTCCAAAATGAATTCTTTTTATCTTGGGTTTGTGAACATTTAACATTTATTGATACTATGTCCTTCATTACTGTGCTTAATGCAAAACAGAGCAATAGTCAAAGTCTGGTGCGATTTTTTTCCTGTGATTATAAGATCTCCAGACAACTTATTACTGTATGGCTTCATCAGTTATAACTCAGCCATGTTTTTATAATGGGTCCAATTTTCTCCTTTTTCTTGTTTATATTTTTTGGTTGTAGTTAGTTGTATGCATTTATGTACATTGTTCTGCAAAGGTTATTAGATTAAAGGCATTTGCACAACTCTTGACTGGTTCCTATTCATTTTGAAGTTCCAAATTTTCTGGTTTTAAGGATTGCGGATGGAAAGGATGGGGAGAAATATCATACGGAGGATATGAATGTGTTCAACGTGCTAAGGCTGCTGAATTTCTGGTAAGATCACTGGCAGAATGTGAGCGAAAAGCAGTCACTTTTGGCTTCTTGACAGTTGTTATTGTGACCCTTCCATTTTAGGATACTTCCTGAGATGTCCCAATACTTAGCTGATCTGCTTGAAGCCTCTGACCTTGTTTGCCTGGTGATCTCCTCTTCTCACATTTTATTAGGTTAGGTCATGGGTGGAAGAAATGGTTCCTGGTCTTAGCTCCCGCATAGTTTCTTATGTGATTGGGCTTGATAGTCTGAAGGCAACCAGCATTGGCAGCAATACATTGATGAGGAGTGCTTGTGAAGATATTAGATTACGGATGGATGGGCTTTTTGAGCTGAAGGAACATGCAGTGCAGTTTACTCAACAGTTCACAGCTTTATATACCAATGGACCAGCAGCTGGTGGCGGTATAAGGTTCTTGCTTGTCAATTTGGCTTCCTACGAAAATTTCAATAATCAGCAGCATGCAGCTTATCCCTTTTTCTTTATGTCTATACCCCTCTTTTGTTCATCTTCATGGATGAATTCTACATATTTTCATGTTGGCCTTCGACTACTTTGATTTTACATCAGACTGTTCTGTAATTCTTTATTCAACCATATTTTTCACCTAAAATGCTTGACTTTAATAATTTTGTGGTTTGACGTACCTATATGTTTATTTATTCAATGCAGCACTGGATACAAGAAAGAGATTGTCCTAGAGAAACAATTGGTACTCTCTCTCTCACTCCCTTTTTTTTCTCTCAGATCATCTTCAATCATGATTGTGGTGCTGTTGGTTTCAAAGGTACTTGAAAATACCTGAAACCATCACTTGATGAAGATGTTTTAAATTAAGACCATAACAGAGCTATTCTCTTTTTTTGTTTCAACTGATGACTTTCTCCTCCTGTTCCTGCTACTTTTTACCGTTGAGTTTTTATTCCAATGATTTTCTAACTTGAAGTCTCAAATTAGTCCTGTCTCAGAATTATGTAATCTTCATTAAGTAAGCCAAAGCTTTCTTCAGTTTCTTATTTCTGGGGTCGTATAAAATTAAAAATTTCTTGACATATTCATTTCAACCTTCAGGTCAGGCGGGAAAGCATTTTCTGGCAAGCCAGAGTAAAGCACACTAAGACATTGAAATCAAATAATCAAGAACTTCGCATTAAAGCTAATACGGGAAAGACATCTGCTCTGAGTGAAGCTGCATCATCATTGAGTTCACAAACTAATGTGGACTCTTCTTGCACAGGTTTCTCCTCAGAACCTCACCTTTCTCCTGCTCCATCTGGCCAGAAGATTCCACTCTATGCTGTTGCTCATAGTAGGGCTGGAGACAAAGGAAATGACTTGAATTTTTCCATAATCCCACATTTCCCTCCAGACATCGAAAGATTAAAGTTGATCATCACTCCGCAGTGGGTAAAGGGTGTTGTCTCATCTCTTGGAAGTATCTCCTCATTTTCCGACCAAAGTGCTGTTGATATGAGAGATAAATTGGTGAACGAAAACCTCAAGGTTGAAATTTATGAAGTTCAGGGAATTCATTCGCTGAATGTTGTTGTAAGGAACATTCTAGATGGTGGTGTCAACTGCTCAAGAAGGATTGACAGGCATGGAAAGACCATCTCGGATCTCATATTGTGCCAACAAGTTTTGCTGCCTTAATTATATCTTGCCATTATGATATTGATCATACCAGTTGTATGCAGCTTGACAATATGAACAGGTATGTGTTCCCTATTTTGGTATTCTTTACATTATGCTGACATTGTACCTTTTTTTTGGGTGCAAAAATTGGATCGAGGTCAGAGACATTAAATAATTGTAATGCAAATTCATTGTAATTGCATAGAATAAATTTACTATAATTGAGTTTTTCTTTTTCAGTTTATACAAGGTTATGGTAATTTGTATTGTTTTTATCTGTAAATTGTACCTTTTAAGTAGATTCAAAATTAAGGTGGATACACAAATTATAAAAACTTGGTATTATACAACTTCTATGATAAATTCAGTATGGACTATGGCGTATATATCCAATATTATACGAATTCCATATAAAATTAGTGCATGGTTACTAACTCAAATTAATCAAAGTACCATAACTGGATCGGTGAATGGTTAACAAATCTTCCATAGAAAAACAGAAACTAAATTATATATAAATGTATAAATATATATAAGAAGTCGGGTAATTAGTTAATTTGAATTTGCTGGACAGGTATTGAAGCTGAAATGGTCAGAAGATAAGCCTTGTTTTACTCCAACACATATCCAGAATTAGAGCATTAACACTTCAATTATAGCCTCATAATATTGGGATCTCCAAACACGTGTCCAGAATCTACCAACCCAGCAAATATGCACAGAGAAACTTACACCACCATTGCAAGAAAAGCAAGAATTAATCCGTTATAATCTCGTATAAACCTGTTTTTAATTTGTATAAACAAAGATAAAAAGAGTTTGATCTGATCCCATTTGTCCTGAGGCAATTCAGGCTTTCCTGTTTGAAGAGTTTCCCTGTTAATTCTTCTCCTTCCTCCTCAGACAACACCTAATCGTCATCTTCGGAGAAATACAGAAAAAGGGTCCATCTCTGGATCACTTTTGTTTTTATATATACATATATATATATAAAGAAAAGAAAAGATGGCATTCACAGGAACCCTGGACAAATGCAAGGCTTGTGATAAGACTGTTTATGTGGTTGATATGTTGTCACTTGAAGGGATGCCTTACCACAAGTCCTGCTTCAAGTGCAGCCATTGCAAGGGCACTCTTGTGGTATTTCTTTTTATTTTTTTCTCTCTATTTTTTAAATTCTACTTTTTCTTTTCTTGGAAGCCAAACAGCCATGTTTCTTCATTTCCTCATGTCTCCCTCCTAACAACCACCCAGATTCAAATTCTGGGTCGAGCATATAAGAAACTGATTTTCTTAATATCTTACAATCTTGTTATAAATAATTAGAAGTTTAAGTAAATCAAGAAGATGAATTATCCCAATGCATTAACAGAAAATACCAACATTGATATTTAAATGGAGAAGTTGACATATATATATATATATATATATATATATATATATATATATACGTATATGAGGGAGAAAGTATTGTTGATTTTTATTTGGGAAATGGGTAATGACACAGATGAGCAACTACTCGTCCATGGATGGAGTCCTTTACTGTAAGCCTCATTTTGAGCAACTCTTCAAGGAATCTGGGAATTTTAGCAAGAATTTCCAAACAGGTAACTATATATATATAAATATATATAATTTCCCTTTAAGAAATTTTTAACATATAAATGAATGAATGGATGGTTTATTTTTCATTTCTTTGCTCTAACAATATGTTTTTGTTTTTGAAAATGTTTGTTAATACAGGAAAGACTGAGAAGCAACAAGAGTTGGTATAATATTCTTTCTCCTATATCTCATACATACATATACTTATACACTTTAACATGTATATATATATATATATGTAAATGTTTCTCATATCTTGAGATTGATTATATGTTATCTTTTGGTTATATTCACATAATCAAAGGCTATTTGCACCTAAGTTAAAGTTGAGATTGATTATGTGTTAGCAGAACAGGACTCCCAGCAAACTTTCTTCTTTGTTCTGTGGAACCCAAGACAAATGTGCCACTTGCCAGAAGACAGTTTATCCACTGGAGAAGGTTAGTCTTTCTTTCAATACATATACATATATGATACGTATAATCTGTTGATAAACCCATTATGGCAAAAGGGTATTGATCCATTTTCTGAGATCATTTAAAAACAGGTGACTCTGGAGGGAGAATGCTACCACAAGTCCTGCTTCAGGTGTGCTCATGGAGGATGCGCTCTGACCCACTCCTCATACGCCGCCCTTGACGGCGTCCTCTACTGCAAGCACCACTTTGCTCAGCTCTTCATGGAGAAAGGCAACTACAATCATGTCCTCCAGGCTGCTTCCCACAAGAGAACTACCTCCACACCACCTCCTGAACTCGCCGACGGCGACGCTAAAGACAACGACGACCACCAAGACGGCGCCGTTCCACCACCCTCCGATGACCACGCCGCGCAAGACCAATCTTAAGAAACCAAAAACAAAAACCCCACCAAAAAAAAAAAAAAAAAAAAATTAAAAAAGTCAACAAGATCTATGCACTTGATATTCTCAATCCTGTGCTTTCAGTTTCAAAATTTTATTTTTGGTATCTCTCTGATCTTTTGAGTAATCTTCATGGGGGCTTGAACAATATTGGCCGGCGAGTCGGTGCCTGCTGCAAATATGGAACACACTCTTTCAGGCTCTTTCATCTTCAAATTCTTGTTTGAACAATTTGTTTATTTTTTTTTCCCCTCACATTTGAATATGCATGTGCTTATTTATTCATACGAATTTGAGTGCTTCAATCTATTCAATTTTTTCCTCCTCCTTGTGTTCTTTTCATTGATACACTGTTACCTTGAGCATATATATCTATATATATATGTATATGTTTTGCTGTTGGGTCTTAAAAGAATAATGCTGACAAGATATGACCATTGAATATAATTTGATGTTCAATGAAAAACATTGGTAAGAGTATTTTATCATACAGATTAATAAGGATAATAATATAATTATCTTAAGATAGAAATTTGACAGAAAAATATTAAAAATTAAATTGTAATATTTATTAAACTTTAAATATTATTTCAATAATTCAATAAAATTAAGAAACAAATATTAAAAAAAAAAAATTTAGCCCTTGACAATGATGAGAAGGCAGGCATTAGACCCTTTTATCCCACGCGCCTCTAACGTGATTGGTGCTGAGGTCCCATTCATGTTACGTTATCTGTTTGTGAACGGCAGAATTAGATATCTAATTGCGCCGAGCCTCTCACAATTGGATTTGTCCATAAGCCACGCGTGTCAAATGCGAATATTGGTACCCTTCCCCTCGAATATCCAGAGCATATATATATATATATATATATTTTAATGATTTTTATTATTATTATTTTTATTACACATATGAATAAATGATTCTGATGGCGGAGGTCAAATTTAGTAAAATAATCCCCAACAACCAGCAACGAACTCATTTTCTACAGGCAAAGAATTGGCACTAGTAAGCATTGATTTTCCATGTTTCTTTAGCTTTCTCGCTTGCCAAACACAGAGAGAAGCTACAGAAACTTGTCAACATCTATCCCAACGGAACAAGTGCCACGTTGATTTGTTATCACAACTCTCATTTTCTGCCTCCTACTTTTCCTCTTAAACTCCGTCCCTGGTTTTCCTTTCCTTCCACCTTTGAAGAAGCTTCACATGATCGGTCAGTTCACTCACTCTCTCTCTCTCTATTCTATTCATTTGCACACATATTCATTTATTGTTCCTATGTATACTTTTTTTTCTTCTAAATTTATGTATATACGTGTGCATTTATACGTCGATTTCTAGTTTTAGGGTTGTAACTTGTCAGGCCTAATTGGTGCTTGTTTGGTTTGGGTAGATATGTCTGTAATTTATTGATTAAACTAACTTTTGTTTGTTAAACCAGGTGTTTGATAAAAGGCCGATAAGAAAGTGGGAAATGTGCTATAGTTCATTTCTCTAACTATCGTTTGAAGCTTGGGCTAGAGTTATGGATTTTGCGTGTAGCATTCAGCAGCCAAATCTGTTTCACGGTTGTGAAGGAACACGTTATCGGTCATTGAATCGATTTTTAGGTTCAAGGTTTAGTTATAATGGCTTCGATCCAACTATTGGTTGGAAAACTTGGTCCGGGAAGCGGTTGAGGAAAAATGTTACATACAGTGGTCGCTTGAGTTCAAGTTTGGTTTTAAAAGGAAGACGTGATGGTCATTTACGGGTTTTGTATTCCAAGAGATCTTTATCCTCTTCTCTCGGTGACATTATTAAGGTGTCAAGAGGAGTCAAGTCTTGCTGTCAAGGGAATGATTCTTTCCCATTTATAGATGGGAATGGTCGAAATGTAGAGTTTTTAGGTAGTAATGATGAGGCAAAAATGGAGTCCATTGATGGTGAGTCTAATGGATCGGCTGAAGGGGAAAAAAAAGAAAAAGAAGACATTGAAGCGCTTAGTGTGGATGAGCTCCGGGAGTTGTTGCAGAAGGCAATGAAAGAATTGGAAGTTGCACGGGTGAATAGCAGCATGTTTGAGGAGAAGGCTCAGAAAATATCAGAAGCAGCAATAGCATTGAAAGATGAAGCAGAAGATGCTTGGAATGATGTTAATAGCACCCTTGATATGATTCAAGAGATTGTTAATGAAGAGTGTGCAGCTAAAGAAGCTGTTCAGAAAGCAACAATGGCACTATCTTTGGCCGAGGCAAGGCTTCAAGTGGCAATAGAGTCAATGGATGCTGCTGT